TCGCCTGGCACTGGCCGGGGCTGGGATCGCAGGTGGGCACCAGGCCCTGCGTGGAAGGCTCTAGAGGGGACCACGGGGGCCTTTGGGGAAGCCCCCGATGTTGGGGAAGGGTGGCGGGGCGGCGGTCCCTGTGGAGCCTGGGCCCGAAGCCCGAGCTCGGGTGGGGCTCTGGGGGTCTGGCGGGGCCCGAGGCTGGAGGGTCCAGTAGGGCCTGACCTCAGGGCGAGGGCGTTTGCCGCGGGTGGGGGGCTCGAGACTGGCCCGGTCAGTCTTCCTGCAGGGCCGGCTTGGCCTGGCCGCCTTAGCATTGCTCCCCTTCAGGGGGCCCTTGGATCTGCAGGGCCTGGGGGGAGGGGGTGATCTGCGGGCGTGACCGGGCTGACCCCTTGCCTGGGGCCCGTGTTAGTGCCCTAGTGCCCCCAGGCACGGTCCCTCCTGCCCCTACCCGCCTGGAACGCAGCCCCCAGTTTCTGCCCCCACCCTCCCCCGGCTTTCTCCAGGGAAAATCCTTCCAGCTCCTGGGTGGGGGTGAGGGGATTATCATTCCTGCAAGGGTTTGGGCAGCTTGGGGGCCACCCGCAGTGCCTTATCTCAGTCACGTCTGACCTGGGAGGCCAGCCCTGAAGTCCACACCTGTTCTTACTAGGGGGGAGTGGTAGAAAGTGAGGCCCAGGCAATCGCGAAGCACCCCCAAGGTCGATTGAGGTCGCTCCATAGGGCCCCCCCAAGTTCATTCTGGAAGTTTTTGTTCATCTAAGGGGCCAGTGTGTTGATGGGTCGAGGGGACTAGCAAGCCACACCACTTCCCTGCTGGACTCTGGGCACCCCGCTGGGTTCTCTGTTAAAGAGCCACACAAAGGGACAGTGTACAGACCTCAGGATTGGAGGGGCTGGGGGTGGCCTCCTAGCAGTGGGCTGTACACAGAGGGGGTGGCCCAGTCTGAGCTTGCCCGCCCCCACCTCATTTCTCCACAGGTGCCCCTGTCGCCTCAGACACCTGTGGTGGAGTCAGGAGCTCCCAGTCCCACCCTTCCCTTCCCAGGGGCTGGGATTTCTGGGTGTGGGGGGTGGCTAGTGGCTGCTCCTCTGGCGGGCACCTCCCCTGCAGGCGTTGTTTACAACAGGCCCCTGGCTGGCCCTGGCTGGCGCCTGGGGAAGCGGAGGGAGTGGCTGTTTTTAGAAGAAGGTGACATTACTTAAGGTCGTGTGGCCGCCAGAGGCAGTGCATACTTAATGACAGCCAAGGGTTAGGGCAGCCCTGGGGCCCTGTGGGAGTGGGGGGTGTACCTATCATGGGGAACTCTGGGGGTGGGGGTGGGGGTGGGGTCTGATCTTGGATCTGTCACTGGCAGGTTTGGGGCTTTTCCCATCCCATCACACAAGATCTCATCACAGGTGTGATCATCACCTATGTGGGGAGTGGCTCTGACCCCAGGGGTGCTCTCCAAGAACCCCTCAGGGGCGACTGCCTTCACAGAGCAGCCCCAAGTCTTGGGTGCCCAGCAGCTGGCACCTGTGAGGGAAGGGGCCATGTCTGGACAGGAGGCCCCAGGTCTGCCAGTCCCACCTGGCACCCTGGACTGGGAAGGCAATTGCTGGGAGGGAGGCACTCTGCTCCATTTCCTGTGGCTGCTGCTTGTGTTGCAATCCTGGGGAGGGAGGCACACTGCCTTTCGAGAAGCTCAGGCAGGGTGTGAACCAGCGGTCCCCACCTTGGGGTGCTCCCTCGCCTGCCCCAGCCACCTCTGCCAAGCAGGGCCGCCCAGCTCCTCGGGACCACTGCCTGCCTGCCCTAGGCCAGGGACCAGGGGCTTGTGTTGGGTCTCTGTGTTGGCGTGCGTCCTTGGTGTGTGTTGGGGTTGCCTGCTTCTGCCCACTCACCCACTGCGCCGTGGGCTGGTGTCCCCCCTGGTGCGGCCTGGCCTCAGTGACCCTTGGGGGAGGGTGGCGTGCTCTGAAAGCACCCCAGTGACTGGGTGACTGTAGTGGCTGCGGATACCCCTGCCCTGTCAGGGGCTCTTCCCCTTTCTGCCTTTTCAGGTGAGGGGGCTCTGCAGGCCTGGTGCCGGCTCAAGATGGCCCTGAGGGGCCTCGTCCTTACTCTATTCTGGCAGACCCAGGTGTCAACCTTGGGGGGCCCTACCTGACAGTCGGGGTGCCCAGCAGGGCCAGGGAAACAGCACTGGCCTCGTGCCTTGCTCCCTCTCTGCACTCACTCAACCGCCGGACACACAGCCGGCTTCTTGAGGTCCCCGCTGCCCCAAGAATGGGAGGCTGGAGAGCAGGTGCACCTGCACTGCGAGGCTGTGGGCAGCCCCGTCCCCGAGATCCAGTGGTGGTTCCAGGGCCCCACACCCGTTGCAGCCTGCGCCCAGCTCTGGGATGGTGCCCGGCAGGACCACATCCACGCCCCCTGCGGCCAGCACTGTCCATCGCCAGCCTCACCTGAGACTACGCCGGCATCTAAAACTGCAGAGCCAGCAGTGACCCCAACCGCAACCACCTGACCCAGGTGCCCTGCCTCCCTGGGTCTGCGCCCAGACCAATGTGCTGGTGCACCCATGTGAGTGCTGGCACAGGCCAGGCCTGGCTCCCAGGTCCATCCGCTCTGTCCACCCCGGCTAGTCCTCCCTCCATCGGTTCCTGGCTCCGTCCTCTCTTCATCGGCTCCCGGTTCCCTCAGTGCTCCCTGGCTAGATTGCTGCTCCTCTGTTGGGAGCATGGGTGTCAGTATCTGTGACCCTGAGGGAGCTGGGGACCGGTCCTGAGCTTAGGGACCTTTTCTTCCTGCCTCCCCCACCCTGTTTTGTGACCTCCAGGACTCTCAGCGTGCTTCTTCGCTCCTCCTAATTCTAAACTACTTCCAAATCTAGACTCTTAGAAAGAAAGCCTCCAGGGAGCCTGGGGTGCAGTGGAGCAAGCCCTGGGCTGCTGGCCTCAGCTCTGAGTGCAAGTAGGAGGGGCCCTGCGCCTGTAGCCCAAAGGGGCTGGTCTACTGTGCCCTGTCATGTCGCTGTGGGTCAAAGCGACCGCTCTGTAAGCTGCTGCTGCTGGGGGCTTCAGGCCCCAGGCAGGCCTGCCCACAGCAGACTGGCCTGCTTCAATGGGGGGGGGGGGGGGGGCGTTCACAGAGCTGGGCATTCGGTCCCAGCCTCCCCCAAAACCAGCGATGCTCACTCTGCACCTGTAGCGGGTGGCCCGCCCCTCGTCCCTCCACCCTGCATGCCCCACGCTGACCCGTTTCTCATTGGGGCTTCGCAGGGGGCATGGTCTCAACCTCGGTGGAGGAATCCGGCCCCAAGTCTCATCTGATCTGCGTTCTGAACAGCAGCGCCACCGCCATCGAGGGCCACCGCTGGATGCGCGGGGACAAGGTGCTCCAGGAGGACAAGCTGCCTGATCTGAGGACCGAATTCCAGTGAGCCCCTCAGGCCCTGTTGGGGGTGGGGGCGGTTGTGTGCGCGCGCATGCGTGTTGAGGGGGCGGGGGCTGGGAGGCAGGGCACGCTGAGGACCTGCCCCTCATGGCGCCCCGCCCCACCCCCTCCGGCAGGCTTAGTGCCAATGACAGTGGGGGCAATTACACCTGCATCTTCCTGCCCGAGCCAACTGGCAGGGCCTCCATCCCCGTGAAGGGTGAGTGCTCAGGTGGAGTGGAGGGATCTGGGGAGGGGGCGTCTGGGGGTCGGCCTTCAGCAAGGGCATGGCTCAGCCCGGCCTCCACACACCCCCTTCCAGGTCCTCCCCACGTCTACGCCGTGAAGAAGTCAGAGCACGCCAGCGAGGGCGAGAGCGTCACACTCAAGTGCAAGTCGGATTCCTACCCGCCTGTCACCCAGTGGTTCTGGTACAAGAAAGGAGACGCGGGGGAGCAGGTGGGCCCTGCTACCTCACCCCAGCCCTGGCCTAACCGCCACTCCCCCTGCACACTCACACACACACACACACACACACACCCCTTAGTTCCCGGTCCCACTCTCATCTCAGACCCCACCCCTTGGCCCCTATCTGCCCCTGGCCTTGACCAGCCCCGCCCCTCCGCCCGCCCACCTGCAGGTCATTGCAAATGGCTCACAGAGCAAGGTCATGGTGCGGTCCTGGGAGGGGCACACGGAGCTACGTATCGAGAACCTGGACATGGAGAGCGACCCCGGCACGTACGTGTGCAACGGGACCAGCTCCGCGGGCACCCACCATGCTGATGTGACGCTGCGCGTGCGCAGCCGCCTGGCTGCCCTCTGGCCTTTCCTGGGCATTGTGGCCGAGGTCCTCGTGCTGGTCACTATCATCTTCATCTACGAGAAGCGGCGCAAGCCCGAGGAGGTCCTGGATGGTGAGGCGGGAACCGGAGGTGCTGCATCCTAGGGTGGGGGGTGAGAGGGGGGGGCACGGGGTCTGGTGAGCTGACGCGACCGCCCCTACCCCCTTTCTCTTCCGCGCCTGCGCCGTGACTGCGTCTGCATCGCCTCAGATGAGGACATGGGCTCCGCACCACTGTGAGTCCTGGGAGGGGTCCCGCCTCCCGCAGGATGGGGGGCGGAGGGGGGTGGTCTCTGGCCAGGTGCCTCACAGCCACCTCTCCTCCACAGGAAGAGCAGCGCACACAACGTGAATGACAAAGACAAACAGATCCGCCAGCGGAATTCCAGCTGAGCGCAGGTGGGCGGGGCCGAGGGGAAGGGATCCCCACCCAGGCCCTGCTCCTCACTTAGAAGGCTCTTCTGAGCCTTTCCCCACCCCCCTTGCAGGCCACCTGAGGTCGTGAACAAGGGAGCGGCCCCTCCAGCAGTCAGACGTTGCCCCTCCCTCGAAGCCACCTGGGGATCCAGCCCCCACCCAGAGATGACAGAAGCCAGTCCCTCCTTCCAGCTAAACCAGGTGTCTCCCCAAGTCTCCTGCACCCTGGGTGCTTGATGGGACCCTGTGCACTCCCCTGTCCTGCTGTGCGCCCTCCCCATCCATAACTGTGACTGCAGTCTCATGTGCCCCCAAGCCCCTGACGTGCCAACTGCAATTGTGAGCAGTGGGGTCTGCTGGAAAGGCCTCCCACCTGACCCCCTGTTCACCAATAAAGGTTGACTCAGCTCCCCTCAGGCTCCTGTCTGTTCTGGGGGAATGGGAGGGGGGTCTTGCCAGAGACCAGGGTTAGTTGACCCCATAGCCCCAGGACAGAGGGCACTCAGCTCACCAGGGACCGACCCACAATTTTGGGAGTGGGGCGGACAGGTGGGGTGGGGTGTGGGTCTGAAGAGAGGGGGGCTGTCCTAAAGAGACCAGAAAACCCCACTGGGTGTGGCTCCCATGCTTTCTGGCGCTGCAGGTCACTTTGCAAGACCTGCCCCCTCAGAAGTAGGACCCCCGGTCCATGTGACTTCTCTCCTGCCAACCCCATTCTATAGAATTTAACCCGATGGCTCAGACCCCCCTAAAGCCAGCTCCTGGCCTTTCCCCCTTCCACCAGCAGAGGGAGCCACATGGTGCAGGCGGATGCACAACCAGTGGCCAGGTCCCGATGGCTCCACTGAGGGGTCGGTGCTGTGACCTGGCACCCTGGTCTTGGCTGGGTTGGCATTGTGATGCCGGTAGATACGTGATGCTGGTGGGGGACTCGTGCAGGGGCCTGAGGGCAGGTACTCCTGAAGGTGGCCTGCAGAGAACCTGGGCACCACAAGGTGGCACCTGACCTCCCTCACGGTGTGGCCTGCTGGGTCTGCCCCTTGGCCCAGGGGTGATGTCAACAGAGGGCAAGGGGTCCGGGGAAGAAGTGGCAAGCAGGGCCTGGACCCTCCGAAGAAGGGCTCCCAGAGAATAGGCATTGCCACATGAATTTCTTTCTGGTCCTGCTGCTGATAGCAAACACCTGGCGTTTCCTGTGTCTGCACTCCTTCACACACACAAAGGGCTCCTCATTGATGCATTTGCTCCATGCAAGTGCTCTACATCATTCACTTGTTCCTTCACTCAGCAGCTAGTGTCAGGTCCAGAGGTCCGGCCTTCTGGCTCTCAGGCCTGCCTCAGTTTTCCCACAGGTAACGGTGTCTCCAGTTTCCATGGGTCATCTGCCAAGATACCGGGCCCTCCTGCAGGGTGGCCCTGGGAACCAAGGGGTCTCAGGCATCCCAGCCCCATGGGCAGAGCAGGGCGGCTGGAGGAACAAAGGCCCATTCACACCCCAACCCATACCCCCGCCTCTCCCGCAGTCCTCATTCTACTGAGGCCCAGCTGCACCTCACTTTATGGGGGAATTAGGGGCAGGGCAGTGACCCCAAAGTTGATGTGGGGAGAAGCCATGAGAGGAAGTGGACTGCAGTTGGGAGCAGCAGACTGGTCACCACCTCCTGTACCCTCACCCTGTGTCCTGTGATGCGGGGAGGACCCCAAAGGAAGTCCAGATCCCTAAATGCAGGGAGGCCAGGAAAAAGGTGTGGGGGACAGACCTCGTGCATGGACACAGCTCTGAGACCTTGGACACGCCCCCTTCCCTGAGCCTCTGTTTCCCTGGTGATAAAAGTGGATCCTCTGTCACTGGCCCTCCCAGGACCCTGGGCTGTCTATCACTTGGTCTGCTCATGGGACCATGTTTCCATGGGCAAGGACCCCAAGGGCAGTGTCCCTGCAGCTTGGCTCATTGGAGGTTGGAGAGGAGGTACTCAGAGCAGCGGGGGACCTGGTGCCTGGCATGGGGAGGGTTGCCAGAGGACACAGACTGGGAAGCCACAGCAGGCTTTAGAGAAGTTGGAGGTGTCCAGGGATGTGGAAGTCTCTGTATTCACCCCAAGCCCCTGGGAGCCCCCACCCTGTCCAGTGCTGTTCAGCTGGCTTCCTCTCTGAGCTTCTGGAATGAGCTAGGCATGGTGTGTCTCCCACCCCCACTTGTACAGCCCCTCTCCAGAGGCACCCAGGCACAGGCCCCCCCACCACCTCCCTTGCCCTTTCCTTGCTCCGAGTGTTTGCTCAGCTCCTTCGCACACTCAGGGCAATGGCACTAGAGCATATTCAAGGAGCCCTGGTGGTGTACTAGGGCCGGCCCTCAGAAACCACCAGCTGCTCCTCGGAAGAAAGACGGCTTTCCACTCTTATGTGCCACCGTCTCGTTGGAAACCCACAAGGTGTGTGTGTGTGTGGGGGGGGGGGGGCTGCACTGAGTTCGCATTGACTCAATGACAGTGATTTTGGGGTTCCTTTTTAGAGAACATTCACTAGCTGGTCAACCGGCTTCTCAGGTCTCAGAACTTCCTGCCACCTGGCCAGCCGTGAGCTGCGGTGTTCCCCCCTGCCACCCTCTCTAGGCCAAAACCCAGCTAATGATGGCCCTCTTGTGGTGGTCTTGTTCTGCAGGTTTCAATGGCCAGTGGTCGGGCCTTTCTCCCGAGGGCCTCTGCCTGAACCTGACCTCCGGCCTCTCTTTCCTTGCACGGGGACTGACTCCTGCACACCCAGTACCTGAGCGCCAGATGGACACTACATACTTTTTAAAGAATGGGTGCAAAGACCGCCCCACGTGGGGAGGGCAGACTGACACAGGCTGAGAGCTGGGGCTGGAGATATGGTGACAAGGCCCCCTGAGGCTCTGGGAGGGTTTGAGACCCCCTAGTGCCAGGCTCCTTTGTGGTCCCAGGGCCCGGGGCCCGGGAGGAGGAGCTGCACTCGGCCCCTGCTCTAGGCGGGCAGGCCTCATCTCAGGCTCAGCCTGCAGCCCCGGGGCTCTGGCGACCTGCCCAGCCTGACATCTTCCCAGGGCGCACATAAAAGACCCCCCTTCAGCCGAAGCACGCCTCTGCCTGGGGCAGGCTGCAGCCTGGCAGTGCCACCTTCCCCGCTTGCCCAGCCCCCTGGGGAGAAACAGCTGCCCACCACTTGCCTGACTACCCACCTCTATAGCGGAGGGTGCATGGAAGGACCACCTAAAGTGTCTGGGGGCTTGGTGCCCCGAGCGTGTATGGCTACAGCCCCCTCTCAAGCCCACCCACCGAGTACAAAAAAGGTCATGGGGTCATGCCATCCACACAGCCAGCTCTTGGACACCTACTGTGTACAGGGATGAGTGGGATCCCTAGCTTCCTGGCACTCCCCCCCCCCCACCCCAACTGCTGTGGCCTCTCTGACAGAGGGCTCTGAGGGCTGGAGCAGCCCCCTGCCCCGGGACCCCCTTTGCTTCCTCTCCGCGCCCTGGGAGGGAGAGCTGGGACAGGGGCCTGAACTTTGGTCCATCCTCCCCCAAGCAGTCAGTTTTTCCAGAGCTGGGAGGAGAGGAGCTACTGGGCTGTAACCCCAGTCCACAGGACAGAACAGCAGGGAGGAGGGAGATTCTGGGTCACCCCCCCTCCCACTCCCCTGATGACCTCAGGCATCTAAATCCCACCCCTTACAGAGGCCCTGATCCAGAGTGCCCCAGTGGGGTCTCCAGTTTCCCCCGGGCAGCTGATGGGGGTGGCCCCTGTGGGAGCCCCGAGAGCCACCCTCTTCCTGCCCGCCCGAAATAACATTCCTAAAGTCCTTTATCCAGGATCCGCGCGTGACAGAGCGAGGGCTCAGCGGCCTCTTAAAACCCTGCTATTAGGGATATTTTCAAACCTATAGAAAAAAAGGCGGGCGATGGACCCGCCTGGTGACACCACTGGAGCACCCCCTCCCCCCGCCAAAGGGCCCCGCCCAGCCCTGCCCTCCAGAGCGAGGCCAGCGCAGAGGCACCAGGAGAAGGCCCCCCAGCCAAGGTTGCGAGCTCCGCTCGGCGGTGACCTTGGGCGCGTCCTTGCGCTCCCCGGGCCTCAGTTTCCCAGGCTTGTGCGTGGATCCCAGACCCTGCGCCCGCGTGACCTTGGGCCGCCCCC